CCCTACAGTGGATGACAGCAGCTCTGCAAGAAACGCTGCAAAACAGATGAACAATGTCATCCATGGGAAATTTGCATCAATACACAAAACCAGATCAAAGAAGAGGATGGCTGAGTGAATCCACACTGCAGTTCAGGTTTCCAACTCCAGCCGTAGACTTTCCTGGACATTTGGGAATGGTGCCTTCGAGGACAGAGTTTGGGGGAGAAGCAACTGCCATTGTGTTGAAGGGGTTCTGCAACTGCTTCTCAAATCCTAACCTGTATCCCAAAGAGACTGTGCCAGGTGCAGGGACTCCAGAAGCAGGTTATCAGGGATGCATGAAAAGTGGTTCACTTTCCATGCTAGAAACACAGTGGAACAATCCCACGAGCACTATGTCAGATGGCCATCCGCGGAAATCCCTGGCTGGCCACTGTTGGAACTGAATGCTGGACTGGATGTCTCTTAGGCTGACACAGTCCAGCTGTTCTGAAGGCTGACACATTCAATTGTATCAGCTTTATAGTATAACTTGACTCTTTGGGGGAGAAAGCTACGTTTCCTCCTAGCCCTGTCAGCACTGAGACTCACCCTGGCCAGAGCCAGATACACCTCCAGCTCTGCAATGCGCCGGCCTACACAGCTGCGCTTGCCAAAGCCAAAAGGGATGGAGGCGTAGGGGTGGTGCGAGTCTTCCTTGTGCAGCCATCGCTCCGGCTGGAAGGAGTTGGGATTGGAGAAGTACTTCTCATCGCGAGAGGTGGCATACTGGCAGAGGCTGATCAGGGTCTGAGAAAGGAAAAGGGACATCATAAGGAAAGCAGTCCAGAAACCCATGTCTGAGAGCACACATGCACAAACGCAATCTATTTGTACTACAAATCCAACTGCTAAGGAAGCCTCTTAGCTTTGTTGTATCCAACCCATTCTCCTTCTTTAGGTCTTCCATTTGGACTCACTTCTGGAGTATGGCCTTCTTTCAACCATCTACCCCCATTTCCCCTGTACATCTGCTGCCCCTGAACTTTCAACAGCATTTTTTAAACCTCCTGTCCTCGGGGAACCCTTTCCACGAGCTTGCCTTAGACTATCAGATTTGTGGCCATGACTCACTTTTTTAGGGATGAGATAGTCCCCCACTTGGATATCCCTGTCCGAGATGACACGTGCGTTGCTGGGAATCACTGGGTACAACCTGCAGGGAGAAACATACAAGTGAAGTGAGTCTAAAGGAACCGTTCCTCACACGTTGCAAGGCTTGTGGGGCGTTTGAGTACAAGGCACGTGGGTACTAGCTAACCATCTGGCTAAATGACCACATTCTTACAGCTGTCAAGATCCAAAGGGGAGCATTTATAATAACCAACTTTATTCAGCTTACTTATAGCCTGCATGTCTCACTGAAACTCAGCTTTCTTGCTAAAGTTTATACAGGTAAAGATGGGAATTTGAGTCTTCTGAGTTGCAAAGATCTCAAGGAGCATGCAGGGGCCTGATCATGGGAGATGTTCTTCAAGTTCCTGCACAATGGCGGAAGGATCCTTCTTTTATATACACTTTAAAAGACCTCATGTCTTAATATTGGCTCCAAGTTTGGTTTTGCTTTTGGCTGAGAGGGGTTTTTTTTGCCTCTGGTTAATCTGGATTTGTGTGGCTGTCATCTATCTGAATTACTACCAGTCTGGCGCTCTGTGATTTGTTGCTGATGTCTTTGGCTGTTCTGTTTATGTCGCTTAAATTGGGTTGATGCTTTTAATGATCTGGTCTTGGCCTCTCCATCTGCTGCTGCATGAGAACTCACCTCAGTGTTTCCTTCATCACCGCCTTCAACAGCGGCATTTTGGCTACGTCAGCAGCTGTTGGGATGGGGTTGTCTTTCATTGTTGCCATAATTTCCTTGTAGAGGTTTGCCTGCACCTGAGGGTGTCGGGACAGTTCATACAGACTCCAGGACAAAGTGCTTGAGATCTGCAGAGATCCAGAGAAGGCTAGATTAATCATTAGGCAGAGCAGGCCATAGCTGACCAAAGGCAAGAGGCTTTGTTGTAAAGTGCTGGGCAGAGCATGGCAGGGGAGCCAAGGCTATGCTTGTGCAAAAATTCAGCAGTCTGGCAGGATGTGCATGGTGTAGAGTGGAACAGCCATTCATGCTATCCTGAAGTAAAAGATTAATAACCAGGGAGAGTGTTTGTCCATTCAGGTACACAGCAACTTGGCTGATCAACGACACTGGAAATTATATACGTGCTTGCTTACTCCCTGTGAAGGCAGACAAAGGAGGGAGTGAGGCATGTGGTACAGTGGCTAGGGCATTGGACAAGGACTTGGGAGAACTGGGTTCAGATCCTCACTCTGTCAGGACGCTTAATGGTAGTATGAGCCTACATAGAGTTATTCCATTTCTAAACCCATTAGTGGGAGTCCTTGAGCCAGACATTCTTCCTCTTAATTTAACCTGCCTCACATGGTGGTTGTGATAAAATGGGGGGAGAGGGCAAACCATGTACACTATCCTGAACTTTTTGGAGGAAAAGGTGGGATAAACGTCAAATAGGAAGATGTAGACCAGAGAGGAGTCCCAGAATATAGGCCTCCATGATGCTTGGTCAAGAAAAAAGGTAGATAATCCAGAAAGGATTGTCAGAGACCACAGCCCTATGCACGTCAACCCACAGAAACACACCCCCTAACCCTTTCATGAATCTACCTGCATTTGTCCATCCTACAGAACAGACTTATTTCAACACAGCAGCTGAGCACACAAGGCTTCTACCAGCAGGAGAGAAAAATCCTCCTTGTGCATATAGGAAACACTTCCCAAAAATCCTCACCGTGTCCACGCCAGCCAGCAAAAGTTCAGTCACATTTCCATAGATGGATTTCATGGACAATTTCTCCTGAGCCAAGTAGTAAGTCAGATATTTTCCTTCCACCTTCTCCCCGTGTGAGATCTTCTCTGAAATCTCAGCCATCCGCTTGTCAATGTGTCCCTTGGCTGGAAAGAAATGGGCAAGAAATGAACGCTTGTTCCCATGGGATAACCATCAAGCAACACATCCTGTCACCGTTAAACACATGTCACCTTTGACAGGCTGGTTCTTACTTAAGGCTAGCTCTGTACAATTCAGCACAAGTAGGAAAAAGACATTAAAGATCAGAGAAAGGTATAGGTTAGGACAACTATGGTGGCAAATATAGTTCTCCAGGCAGGAGGGCACTTCTTGGAGGAGCCAACTGCATGACATAACTGTGTCCCAGTAGCCAAGAGGCTAAACAGGGAGCATACGACAAAATACAGCAATTACGGCAGAATACTGAGTAGCTCAGCTGCTGGGAAACTACCAGGTTTCTAGTCCTCATCGCGAACAACCTTTTACAAATCCCAGATGGTGAATGTTTCCTAGTGGCTTAACAGAAAATAGTATCTGGAACAGAAGAAGTATCCAGTTGGCAAAGGTTATCCTTCCCAACCACCGACATTCGTTGGTGGCCTCAAAATTGTGGAATTCTCTGACAAACGTTACTGAAGCCAGAGACTACTGAAATCTAGAAAATGTTATAAAAAACCATTCTTCTTTTGGAGGCTTCCAACAGCATATAATGACCAGTAAACGTAACAAATGGTTTTGTTGATGAATAATGTACATTTTAATTCTGTTTACTGTATTGGTTGTAAACGGCTCTGGGGCATGGGGAACCAAGAGCAGTAGAAGTCTAGTTAGTAGTCGGAAGAACATCATAATTATTGAAGAAAAAGGGTTTTCCAGGTTCTGGGGGAACCCCCACATATTTCCATTGCAGCTACAGACTTGTAACAATTACGTTGATGTATGCAAATGTGCTTAGTCAGCAGCAAAGGTACAGAAAAGCACGAGCACCTGGAAACGCACTGGTTGGTACCGTGATGCCCAGGGGCACCATGTTAGGCAATCAGTGCACTACAGTAGCTTTTAAATAAGTCAGACAGCTCTTCTTTGTGGCACTGAGAAACCCAGCATGGATACTCACCAAAAGCAAACATATAGTCCCAGGACTCGCAGAATTTCTGCCACGGTTTAGGAAAGATGCGGTGCAAGATCTTGGGCATCGCCATGGTGAGCAGGGTCATGACAAACATGGTGTTGATGGAACTGATGAAAGTCTCCGTCTCCTTTGGCACTTTGGGCTCCAGGCAACCAATGCGGGATTCAAAGAGGACCGAAGAGATGCCTAAGGGGAAGAGGGGAGTCCAGAAAGAGGACGGGTCAGGATCAATGGAGTCACCAGAGCAGATCACAGTCTGAAAGCCCACCTTGACTCATTTCTTGCCCAACCTTGAAGATGTAACTCGGGGTGGGGGAGAGATTGGAAATGGGGAAATAAATGCCCATCTGTCTTTCTGCTGTTGTGAAGACGATTACTTAAAACTTACTCATTTCACGAGTTCAACAAAGGAAAAATCAACAAGCATTTATTAAAAGCAAATTGGACTGGTGCATGACTAACCATGCTTGCGAATGATCTGGGCACATGTCCAGATTATAGTGTGCCATATCCTGAAAAATCTGCAGCAATTTTGGCAGAACCCGGGCATGACACATTCATAAGACCAGTGTTGCTTTCATGGTGGGGGGAGGGTGTATGAATTGGCTTTGCTGGCATTTGCCTTCCAGAAATCAAGTGACATGTAGAAAAAGCAGAATACATCAGGGTGAAAAATATCTATAGCCTGTGAGCTTCCAAGTGGAACGATTCTCCAGTTAACAACAGCAACAACAACCCAAGTTTTATGTCTAGCAAAGCCAGGTTGGAACGATTCTCCAGTTAACAACAGCAACCCAAGTTTTATGCCTAGCAAAGCCAGGTTCTGCCAGGTTCTGCAGGCTACATAGGGTTGCAAAATCCCCCCTGGCCACCGGTGGGGGATATGGGGGTAAGGGTTGCCAGATCCAGGTTGGGAAACTCCTGGAGATTTGGGGAGGGAGCCTGGGGAGGACAGGGACCTCAGTGGGGTACAATGTCACAGAGTCCACCCTCTAGTCTAAAGCATCCATTTTCTCTAGGAGATGAGCTTTAATCCAAGGGGATCCCCAGGTCCCACCTGGAGGTTGGCACCCTGAAGGCTATGTAAGTTGGAACACTGATTCTGCTTGTCGGTCAAATGAAGAGCTATGCAAGGACTTGAGACTTCTGGCCAATTCAGAAGTTTTTTTTTTAAAAAAAGCTCTGCTAATCAGAGTTCAATTCATTTTCTGAGATTTCGGGCATTTGCTCACCTACTTTCTAGAAGGAGGAATATGCAGTTTAAAAAAAGAAAAGAACATTGACACTGAAAGGGGGTGCTGAATTCTGCATCCACTGCCAGTGTCTCTGAACTCACAGAATGTACATTATTATTCCAGATAAAGCTGAGCAGCAATGCAGAAGCGGCAGCAACACGGGAGTCTGAGGACTATGGAACACTGGAGTTGCTGTGTCAGAACTGAGCGAAAGGCGAAGAGGAAGCCTCTCACATAACAGCCCTGAATTACCAACCATGTTACAAGCTTCCAGGCAGCCCCAACCTAGACCCACCTCACAGACCACCAAGAGTCACCCCAGCGTTGCCCTGTCCCAGCACATACCTTCTAACCCAAACTTGTAGAACTCGCCCGCCACGTCTTTGACCACGCGCTGCTCGTGAAGATTCCGCTGGTGCTCCAGCCGGCCAATGAGATCACTGACCACCTCATTCAGAGTGCCCGTGTAGGCCTCCACCTCCTTGGGCTTCAGCATGTGCTTGCCGAGGATGCTGCGGATTTTCTGCCACTCTTCGCCTTCCCTGGGAAGAGGAGCGAGGCTTTGGTTAGGTTGCTGGGCTGGAGAAGCGCCCCGAGCGAGAGGGAGCATTGTGCCATCGCAGAGCACAGGCACGCATCATTCCAAGCTGTCCGCTTTGGGATCCAAGCCTTCCCCCCCCCCCCCCCCCCGTACAGGGAAGGATGCAGCCCACCCATAACACAAAAGCAACTTTTACAGGCCACCCAGGAAGACTCGGACTGTGCTTCGAAAGTGTGGCCCTAGCCAGTCTGCCTGTCGCGTTGCATTTCCTTTCGTTACTCACATCCTGTGTCTAGATTGCGGAAGCATCCCCCCCAGCTGTTTTAGGGGGGGGGAAACAATAAAACACCAAGGAAGCCCTGAGTCACAGCTGCTGAGATCTGAAATGACTTCTCGCTCACAGCCCGTATGTTGCACAAGCCCAGGCAGGAGCCTACAGTTCCTGCATGATGCATTTCCAGGAAGACGAGCGTGAGAACAAACAGCCCGGAAGCAACATCGGGCTTCATTTATGAAACTGGGGAAGGTCTCTTCCTCTCCTTTTGTAGGTATGCTCAGAATTGGGGGTTCAGTGCTCTTTCGAGTGAGAGATAAGCTCTAAAGAAGGGGTCCCCAACACAGTGCCCACTGATACCTTTCCTGGTGCCCATTAAGTGTTCTTAGAAAACGGGTGGGGCCCGGGGGGCTTTTTCCCAGCAAGGCCTCTGATTGGCCATTGGAGATTTCATTGGATGTGCAGATTTCAAAAAAACATTGCTTTGGCATAGGGTTGCCATCCCCCTGGTTGGGCCAGGGGATCCCCCCAATTTTGGGGCCCCCAATTCCCACTACCGAACAGCAGCATCCTGCGGGGACGCCACTGATGCAATGATGTCCCAAGTAGTGATGTTATCACACTGGGGGAAACTCCATGGTTTTCTGCGCATGGCAGAAAAGTCCGACAAGGAGCCAGAAACCCCCCGCCATAGCTAAGGTGAGACCTGGTAACCCTACTTTGGCATCAACTGCCACAACAGCACAAGGATCTTCACTTTGTGACTGAAGGTATGCTGTGGTAGCTGGCTCCACCTCTTGCAGCACAGCAGCCATTTTGTGGCTGCGCCCGCCACACCTCTGTCAGAATTCCAAAGAGGCCCATGAGCTCAAAAAGGTTGGGAACCCCTGCTCTAAAGTCAGGCATATTAGGAGAGAACTTCTATGAAGCTATTGATGGGGACGACTGCTCAAAAACAGCCTGCTTCCTTCTTTCCTTGGGAGATACTGTTTTGGGGATCATTCACTGGAATCTTTCCTGATCATGGCTTAATGAGGAGCACCACAGACTCTAGGGCTGCCAAGTGGGGGCAGGTGGCGGGTAAACCCCCGCTTTGGAGGCCCGATTTCTGCCGCCATGGAATCGGGCCCCGGGGGGAACTCCGCCCCCCAAAGCGCAGCGTGGCTGCATCACCAGAGGTGACACAACCACGTCAATCACGTTGGGGGGGAGGCCCCGATCATCGGAGGGAAAACTCTATGGTTTTCCCTCCGAAGATCAGGGCCACGCCCCCAACGTGATTGACGTCCACGTCACTTCTGGTGATGCGCTGGCGGCGCGCGTGTGTGAAGTGTGCGCGTGCACCCCCGCCGGGCTTTACAAGACATTTGGCAACCCTAACAAACTCTGTAGTATCAATCCACATTCATCTCTTTATTAATCCACATTCATCATTTTACCAGACTCCTTGGTTTGAGCTCTTAAGTCAGAGTCGTCCCCCCCTCCCCAAGTGTGTGACAAATCAAGTCCTCCAGAGTGTCATTCTAGTGCATAGGCAATCCTCTAGTGCAAGATGCCATCCTTCCCCTCCTGAGACCCACATTGGGGCAGCATTGCTTCCTGTCTATTAAGCCAGGGAACAGGCAGCAATGTAGCACAGGAAGTATTCAGGACTGTGCGTTGTCAAACATTAGGGGCTGGTCTGAAGTGAGGGGACTTTAGACTCCTCCTTGGGGAGCTGTAGGGAAGGAGTAAAATCAGGATGAAGGGAATTGGGTATTTTAAGCTTGTCTTGAGAGCTTCTCCTGGCAGCATCACTAGCACACCACCAGGACCCATTGCCAGGGGCAGCTCTCTGCCCTACTAGACTATAGTTCTTCTAACAGTTGACTCTTCGCTGGCAACTGGGGTTGCCAGGTCCCTTCTGGCCACCAGTGGGGGATAGGGGAGTTGCCAGATTCAACTTGGGAGACTGTTGGAGATTTGGGGATGGAGCCTGTAGTGTATTGAAACGGCTTACATGAATCGCCGCATTGACTCCCCATGTTAAGCTCGAGCCAGAGGAAGGCTCCTCCGAGATTACGTGCTATTGGTCGCTCCTCAACAGCGACCAATCAGAACTGCACCTAGTCCCTGCGAGGGAAGAACTCTCATTGGACTTTATCCGCACAACCTCATTGGTTGTTTATTGTAGAGGCGTGGCTACGTTAGCCCGGGAATGTTTAAAAGGCGCCTAGCTCCCAATGTTAACTTGTTCTGGTTATGACTTATTCAAGCACTTGTTCGTACCTTCAATAAAGCTGTTCACTTTTGCTGAAATCACTCTCTGTATCTTTGTTAGCGGTGATCTAACAGAGCCTGAGGAGGGCAGGGTTTGTGGAGGACAAGGACCTTAGCTGCCTGTAATACCATAGGGTCCATTATCTAAAGCAGCCACTTTCTCCAGGGATCTGGTCTCTTGTCATCTGGAGATCAGTGATAAATCCAGGGTATCTCCAGGCCACCCCTGGTGGTTGGCAACCCTAGCTTTGCTTCTGCCACACGTGATGTTCCAATACGGTCCACCACTTTTGCAGAAGCGACAGCATGGTCCCTCCCTGCTTGGCTGTCATATTCTAGACTACAAGTCACCTTTGAAATCCTCCCCTAGAAGTTGCTAGAGGAAACTGGTGGAATCCCAACCACAAAACTTTGGAATGATTTCTGAGAAATGCTAGTCAAGGGAAGGCCAACAGTGGTTAAACTTGTGAGTTTTAAGCCGCCACTTCAACAGCATTTTTAATTCAGAAATTCCTTCAAGGATTTGAGGGATGGTAAAGTTTTAGGTCTGACTCGGTAAATGGCTTTTAGAAATTTGTGTGGATTGGTTTGGCATGATTGACTGACACTGCAATTAGATTTTGGCCCCGGTCACACGGCAAAGTTGCCGCGGGAGAGGCACGGATGGTGGGCGGATTATCCGGGCGCGATCACACCCCAACATCTGGGAAGTGGAGTGCACCCATGGCTTACCGCCAAAAATGTGCGTTAAAAAACTAGTACCTCCAAGTTACAAGTACTAGTAAACGTTTGCCACGGGCTGCCTCCAGACTCCTGTGGTGTGATCGGGCTGGCGCGCGGCATTTCCCTCTGGTCCCTCGTTTACCTGCCGACGCCGAGGGAAGGACCTGTGGTGTGCCGGCGGCGCGTCTGATCGTGTAATCGTGGATCAAACTGCGCCGGGGCAATTAGCCACGCCCCCCGATATCCGGCCCGCCTTTGATTCTTTTCATGAACATGGGCAGTGGGTTGTTGTGCTCATAATGAGGGGGCCGATGACGGAGCAGTCCCATGCCAATTGGATGCTTCGGACAGATGCATCCCTACAGCCCCTCCTCCAACAACCCCAGCCAGCTTGTTTGGGCGAAGCAGCAGCAGCAAATACTTACGCAGTCAGCAGCCCATAGGAATGGCCTCGGGACACTCTGTAATCCTTCCAGGAAGAGAGGTCGGAGCGGATGGGGTGCTTGCCTTCCTGTCTCAAGACCTGCTCAATCAGGCTAGGGTCGGCGACGTTGACCGTGAGGATGGGCCCGAAGCTGGCTTTCCATATGGGGCCGTATTTGGCTTTGCTTTCCATCTATGAAAGAAGCAGAAGGCAATTGCTTATTGGGCACCATAGAATGGCCAGTGAAGCTTCCCAATCCCCCCCCCCCCCGGATCATGAATGCTCCCTTTGCTGGATTCCACTCCTGCAGAGTAGCCAAAGGCTTTTTCGGTAAAAGATGCCAGAAAGAGCCATCAAGCTTTGCCACAATGGCACCATTTCTCTGCCTTCAACAGCTGCATGCAAAGTATGAGTACAACAGATGAACTCCTTGCATCTCCGTGCTGGAGAGAGCTTTGACTGCCAGTATGGTGTAGTGGTTAGAGACCCAGGTTCAAATCCCCCACTCTGCCATGGAATCTTACTGTACGACCTTGAGCTGATCACATGCTCTCAGCCTACCTCACAGGTTTGTTGTGAGAATAAAATGGAGGAGAGGAGAATGATGGAAGCTGCTTTGGGTCCCCACTGGGCAGAAAGGCAATAGGTATGAATGAAGTCAATCAGTCAATCAAAATGGAACTGGAGTCTTTCATGCAGGACACAGAAGCCCCACCAGAAAGCCAGAGAGCTGCCAGCATTGTGACGGGCATGTTGTTGGTGCAGCATCACACCTTTGCGATCACACGCTCCTAGGTCATGGCAGGATATGCACAAACCCAACAAAGCTTGCTTGGAGGGACTGCCCCAAGGGGAATTGAGAAATAGTATCTGTTCAAGAAACAGCCATCCCTGGCGTAGTGGTGAACTAGCAAGTGCTGCATGCAGAAAGCTCTCTGAGGCCAGCTCTTAAAAGACCCCATCCTCGCAGTGGTGCTATGAGAGTTGAACTTTGGCTCGTGGGCTCAGCAGAGGGACTGCGGGGGAAAAGCAGGCTATGTAACTTCACATTTGAAGCATACATTACCATCTAAAAGGGAAGCACTCATGGGACCATTAAAGCCAGAATCTAAAATGACGTAACAGCACCACTGTGTGCTTACCTCTACCACTGAAATCCACAGAACTTAATTTGTATGTTATTTTGGCTAGGGGAGGGATGGCAGCTCCTCCAGGCTTATGCAGATCCCATCAGATCTTGGAAACTAAGCAGGGTCAGTACTTAGATGGGGGACCACCAAGGAAGACTCTGCAGAGGAAGGCAGTGGCCAACCACCTTCTGCTTCTCACTTGCCTTGAAAACCCCATTAATTGTTGTCCCTTCACACCCACATTCTTACTGAGAATGCTGTGGAATAGTTTTACTGTGCAGTCCTAAGCAGAGGACTTCTAGGTTAATTGACTTCAGTGGATTCAGAAGGGTACAACTCTGCTTGGGATTAGATCTAGATGGGTAGCTGTGTTAGTCTGTCTGCAGCAGTAGAAAAGAGCAAGAGTCCAGTAGCACCTTAAAGACTATCAAAATTTGTGGTAGGGTAAGAGCTTTCGTGTGTCACGGCTCACTTCTTCAGAATGGGACTGCACTGTTACTTTCCAAATTGTATACAGACTTAATCTACTTTCAATACAGTTCCTAGTACTGCGCTGTTAGTTTATCAACAAAACATTCTCACATCTTGAGGACTATGCCGCCCCCCAGTCTGCACAGGTTCTTGTTAGAAAGGCCTGATTATGTTATCTTTAAGTTTCTAACCCACATGATTATAATGGTGTTGTTGGAGGCCTGGCAGCAGAAAAACTCAGATGCAATGAAAGAGATGCAGAAAAAGCCAAATCTGTTCTTTGGCTTCTTTTTCAAAGGATAACTCAACCCCTTCTTCACACACACAAGGAATGCAAATGGGTAGCAGGGAACATGGCAGAGTAGTAAAAGAGGATGAGATAATGGACAAACATACAAAATTATCTTTATAAGAAGCATGAGCTATTCTCAAGGCACCTAAAGATAAAAGGGACACTCAACTTAGCCAGCGTTACAGAAATTTTTACTTGGCTCTGTAAAACTTATTTGTCTTATTCTTCCAATCAGCAACTGGCCCTTCCTTGGCCAAACCTGCCCCCATCACCACCCAAGGGGTGTTTGCTCCCTAAATTACATTTCATAGACAAAGAGGAGGTATAGAGGGAGTTGGAGCTGTGATAGTAGTAATCACAGGCAAACTGTCCTCTTCTCCAACTAGCAAAATCAATGCTGGGACTCTGGCAGTCTGGATGAATAACTAAAACGTCATCGTATGTACAGAACTGGGTAGCTGCAGTGGAATATAGGTGTGAAGGTTGCAACCCTGTCTTCAAAACAAGTGTTTGGGCAGTTTCAGAGGAAGCATGTTTACTTAGAAGTTAGCCCTACTGAGTTATCAATGAAAATAGAGGAAGAATGCAACCTTTTGTTGGACAGTAGGCAGGTTTGGGCAGTATCATAAGGCAATGAATCCCCCCCCCCAATTAATTAAGTGGACAATGAGATGCATCCTTGATTTCATGATTCCATTACCAATTGAATGGAGTTCAGAAGCATCTGAGCACGAGTTAGCATTGAAGTTTGTAGAATTTTTACCCCTCCCTGGTATCATCGCCATTCTTACATTTTTTAAAAAAATAGGTATTTGTATTAAGAACATACTTCTTGCACATTTAAAACAACCTTGTTTGTTATGCATGTTTAACACGTACAGCGGACGCTAGCATTATAATGCTCCCATTTATGCCAGCCCCTCCAAAGGGCATGTAGAGTTTTAAAAGCTGTGTGCTTACAGGGCTAGGTGATTTACACTGCAAGGACTAAATCACTTCACTCAACATAGCAACTAAAACCATGTCTACCTGCGCACTTGCCAAGCTTACACAGAACTGTATTGACAAGCCAACCAAGGAGTACGATGCTTAGTCTACATTATTTAAATAGCTTTTTAACAAGCACATCTGGAGACGGGCGGTAGGCATTGCAACGTTTAAGCACACCCGAGGGAGGATTCTTGTACCTTCTTTTATATCCCTTGCAGGGCACATGTTTAAACTGCTGAGACAAGTAATCAGACAAACACATTAACCTACTTTATGGTATTAGGAAACCGTGTGTATTTGTTCATATGAGCAATTCCTGGCTTTTGGAAAAGTCATTCCAAATGCAACTCCCGTTGATTAAATTATGTGGATTAATGCAGGATGAGAAGGGTTTTCTAACTGTAAAGCATTGAGATAAAGTACTCTATTAGAGCACCAATACGGTGTAGTGATTAGTGTCGGACTAAGATCTGGGAGAACCAATTTCAAATCCCTACTCTGATAGGGAAGCTTGTTGGTCACTTACACTCTGTCACCTAACCTACCTCACTGGATTGTTGTGAAGGTAAAATGGAGCGAACATTTACACAAAAGCTGATACTCGGAATTAAACTTTGGTGGTCTTAAAAGTGTCACTGGAACCAAACTTTGTTCTGTTGCTTCAGTCCATCATGGCTACCCACCTGAATCAATACCATCAGGGAGAAAGGCAAGGTACAAACTAAGTAAATTAATAAATATTCTATTATTGATATAAACATCAGAAAGTTAGAGGATATTCCACACTCAGGATCCCACACAGGACAAAAGTCTTACCTGGAGTTCATGCAATCTGGACAGCCCCTTTTTGCAAAAAAGGTCAGTCAAGAAGCTAAGAGTACTGGGTCCGGGCATCTCCGCCATGGTCTTGTGAGTTTTGACAACTCTTGACTGAGATTTAAAGAGTGGCTCTGCCCAGCTCTCGGGAAAGCATCTAGCCAGCAAAGAAGCCTTGTTGGCCAACTTGATCGTCTGAGTCATCTCGGCCCTATACCCGTGGAACTGGGTGAAGAGAAAGCGATCTTTTTCATAGGGAGCTTCATTTTTGACAGCCTTTTATTGATCTGGCACGCACGTGGACGGGGCAGGCCACGCCCCCCGGCATGGCTCATTAGGAATCCCCGCCCACTCCGGATGCGTCAACATTTTTGTTATGCAAACGCAGCTGCCCAAACTGTCCAATCCGAAGAGGCCGCTGAAGGTGTGGAACAAGGAGGAGGGGGCGCATCTCGTGCGGTCGGCGATGCGTTTGGAAAGATCGGAGCAATAGCGAAAATAACTGGCGGGGGCGTCTAAACTGGTCACCGGAGGAAAGATGAGCCATTTCCCATGTCGAACCGCTTCATTCATCCGGCACTGAGGAACGGGTACACTGAATCCGCGGGTTGAAGTTACTGGGATTATTGCTGCTATTTTGCGAGCGTTTGATTCGTATTGCATTTAGATGCACGTGTCGTATTGCATTTAGATGCACGTGTTCACACCTTTTTATTTGGGGTTCATTTAATCCGGAAAGATCACCAGCTTTTGTGCGTCCGCATAACACAGATTTCCCTATAAACTTGCACCGCAGAAACGAGAGGATTTCCACCTTTTCCCCCCACAGTGCTTAAAAAAAAAAAAAAAAATTGGCCAGTGCAAAAAACGGCGTTTGTAACGTTGCAAATTCCGGGAACAGGACACTGGGAATATGTCTCTATGAAATCAGTTTAATCGCACACAAGGATGAGTTTGCCGATATGTTAAAATAAAGCAATCCAAGTTAGAAATGAAAGCAACCGTCACGTCATTCTTGAAAAGATGTCTTGGCACGAAGCACTGAGCGCAAGTTTTCAAGTTCTCCAGAACTCTTCTTCAGGCTACATGTTCAATTGTGGAGAGGCAGGCAGAGGAGAGAAGACATTCCAGAGCATATGGGAAAGCTTTACACAAGTCTGCACTGCTAACAGTTTTTAAATGGAATACATAAGGATGTAATTCAGATTTAATTGGGTGAAGCTGTGCTAGATGCAAAACAAATTTCAGGTTTAGGGACAGAAAAGCATGTGAGCAGAGTTCATAGGTCCCTTTTCAATACAGACAGAGCAGAATCAAACTGGAGTAGTCCTTTAAGGCACCACTGGAATTTAATTTTGGGTCTGATGAAGTGAGCTTCATCTCATTGAAGTGAGCTTCATCTCACCAGTGATCAAATACATTATGATGTGAGTCCAGTAGCACTGCAGAGACCACCAAGAGGGTAACGAGATACATTAAGTGCTACCTGACTTCTGTTTTTACTTTGCTATTATATTTCGACATTTCTAGCCATCTAGAATTTTGGAGGGTGCACCGGGCGAAGAGTCAGTAGAAGCCACATTTTCCTAGCACACGTTATCCCCTTATATTATATAGGCAAAAATGATTTCTGAGAGCTAGCCATTTTACTCTGTTGTAACAAAATTGCACAAGAGTCCAGCGGCATCATAAAGACACAAGAAGATTATTCCATCATCAGCTGTCACGAGTTAGAGCACCCTTCCTCAGATGAGCTCTGAGTCAGGAAAGCTTCTAATAGAATACATTTTGTTAGCCTCCTGTATAGCTAATTTTTTTTCTGGAATAGACATCAATCGCTGTAGCCCTGCTGGTACTGTTCCCTGGTTAAGGTTGGTACTGTTCTCTGGTTAAGCTTGGAACAATCTATATATCTTTTGGAAACGGAACTTTTCCCAGCCCACAGGGTTCTTGGATCATGGTTGATGGCATGAATGCTCCTCCATCTCCCATTTCAGCAAAATCCATATGGGATAAATCCATTACCACTTTGATACTTAGCCTGGGTTCACACATAGAGATATGATTTGATTTCTTATCACTTGATGATGCGTGGCAGAACATGTAGTCCAGGGGTGTCGAACTCATTTGCTATAAGGGCCGGATCTGACATAAAAGAGACCCTGTTGGGCTGAGCAGTGTGTGTCATAAAATGTAATGCCAGGTAGCAGAGATATAAACTTTATAAAGGACACAAACGGAAAGGGTTTTTTTAAACTTAAAATAAAAACATGCTTAAAACAGCACTCTTGCAATATTTTGTTTATTTAACAGTGTCTGCTAACTGACACCTCTTGCTCTGAATTATTGCATCAAAATGTCTGTGCTGTTGCAATCTTGAGTATGCTGTTCAGGTGTGTATCTGTAAGCTGCAAACCTACGATGATGCAGCAGTAGCAGAACTGGAAGAAGAAGAAGCAGAAGACAGCCAGTTCCACTGCCGGCCAGAAAGAAGTCCTCCGAGGGCCTGATCTGGCCCCCGGGGCGCATGTTTGACACCCCTGTTGTGGTCAGACTCCCTCTGAGAACTGTGCGTGTGAGAGGCAACGCAGAAGCCCTAAAGCGCTGGATTTTTCAGGGCTCTGTTGCACCTGCAAGTCATCACTGTGTGCCCAGATTATGGAAGAGACCATGAGAGTGAGGCAAATGCAAATATTTTTAGCACCCCCTCCTAGAGAAGGGAATCCTCCCCCACTTGAATAGCTGGGGAACTCCACCTTGTAGAAATCTCCCAAAGTAATATAGGTGCCCTGCAGTTTGCTTGCCGGCTCTATCTAGGAAGTGGATGCAAATGCTTCTGCAGCCATATTAGACCTATGAGAGCAATGAAGAAATGTTCAGTAGATGCTGCCTGACTGTACAAGAAAATCAGGCATCAGTGAGTCCTGGAAAACGTGGGACTCAGAACAAGCTCAAATCGCCATATGCCTTCAGAACACTCTCCGATGGAAGCTACAGCTTGGTGAACGGGAGTTCATTAGGCTTTTGAAAATTTTAAATGTTTTAAATAAATAATAACTTTTATCCAACTCTTCTACTAAGAGATAGTTCCCCCCCCCCCCCCCGTCAAGTTACAGACAATTTATGGCAACCCCGTAGGGTTTTCAAGGCAAAAGACATTCAGAGTTGGTTTGCCATTGCCTGCCTTTGTGTAGCAACCCTGGACTTCCTTGTGGTCTCTCATCTAAATACTGGCCTGGGCCAACCCTGCTTAGCTTCCAAGATCTGGCTAGCCTAGGCTAAACAAGCCAGAGAGGTTATGTTATATTACACACACACACACACACACACACACCTTTATCTTCACATCACCTCTGCCAAGTATAATAAATCAATTTATAATGTTTGGCCCAACTGAATTTTGTGCCGGACTTTTTTTTTAGGGGGCTTGAACCTGGGTCTAACCAGTCTCAGTTTGCTGACTATTCTATCACACAGGCTGTAATACAGTACAGCCACATCTTCAGGAATTAATTTTTGGTGTGCTAATTTGCTCTCAAGAACTCATAATTAGGAATGGCAAAATGAAAGGAAGGGCAGTGCCAGGGAGTGAAAAAAGAGAAGTGTAGCTTCAATATTTATTAATGCATGTAGAATACTTGACTTTTCATTTTAAAAAACTTCAAGGATACTTTATTTTGATTATGTATAGAAAGGAAACATTAAAAACAATGCATGCCTAATCTCAGGTGTGTGACTTACACAATGTAATATTACTTGAACAAATCAAAACAGAATCACCACGTATTGTGTAGCATCCATGCTTCAAGATCATAAGAAAATAAGCATGTATTATAGCTCAGAGGTTAAGACGCTGAGCTGCAGACTGGAAGGTCTGTAGTTCGGCAGTTCGAGACCCTAGTGCCGCGTGATGGAGTGAGTTCCCATCTCTGGCCCCAGCTACTGCCATCCTAGCAGTTCGAAAGCAAGAAATTGCAAGTAGATAAATAGATACTGCTTCAGTGGGAAGGTAACAGCATTCTGTGCACCTTGGTGTTTAGTTATGCTGGCCACACGACCACAGGAACGTCTTCGGACAGCGCTGGCTCTTCGGCTTGGAAACAGAGATGAGCACCGCCCCCTAGAGTCGGATTCAACTAGCTTTCAAGCAAGGGAAACCTTATTATAACTATGCATATGGGACCCACTGTGATTCTATTTAGCATTAGAGATCTCATCAACACACTGTTTTCACACTAGAGAATCAAGACAGTAGCTTCATTTCATTTAGCTGTGGCTGTTTTAGCAAAGAAAATCCAATTTTAATATATAAAGAGTTAATGAGATCTACATACCTAGCATTATTTTTATCCTACCTTTCCTTCAAGGAGCTTGTGGTGGCATATATGGCTCTCCCTCATTTTAGCTTTTTAGCGACCCTGTGAGATAGGCTAGTCTGAGAGATAGTGACTAGTACAATGTCATTTAGCAAGCATCATGGCAGAATAGGGATTTGAACCTGCGTCTGCCCAGTCTTACCCGCTACAACAAACTGGCTTTCATAGGCATTGGGTAGTTCTCCTTTAACTATGTGGTCATTCAATGAACCCCACAGGTGAATGAGACAGGTGCTAACAGTGCCTTTGGAAGATGCCATAGGTGAGTTGCCTGCAAGTATATAAGCACCTTCCCCAGTGACAGGTACTCAGGGCCATCCAGAGGTGGATTACTGGGGGGATAACAAAATTATTATGGCCCATGTCAGCTGGTGGGCCCCTGAAGCAAGTTTCATGCGTTCAGAATGCATCCAAATTTATTTAACTTCTAATGCAGTTTGGCACTTCAGCCACTAGGGGCTCTGGGATGGCAAAGCACAGTAAAGGTACAAGGGTAGATGTAAATTGATTTCTTACTGATTTACTTATGGAAGATTTATTGTGATATATGTTTTTGAGAACCACAGCCCACTTCATCAGGGGTAAGAAGTGTGTCCTATATTGGTACACATGTGTATGGATATACAAGTATAAAATTACAGATTTAGATACATGGTTGGATCAGGGTCATACGGGGGGCCCATGGTGGCTCTCGGCAGCCCTGCAGGTACTTCCGGAGAAAATTCTATAGAAAGAAATCCTATGAGGTGGCTGTGTTTGACTGGAACAGTAAAAACAGAAGCAAGCCTTGCGACACTTTAAAGACTAAAAAAATATATATTTCTGTAT